TGCCCCCCATGCTCTGGTCTGTCCTGATTAATGGATTCCAGTTGAGTTTAATTTGCACACATCAGACCCTCTGGAATCAGGGCTCTGGGCTGTCTTCAGAAACTGGAGGCAACACAAGATCAGCCCCTGCCTTCAGGGCTTTCCTGATTCTCAGAGGATGAAGAAATTGGTGGAGTCCTCTCCTAGTGGAAATGCTGCAAGCAACATTTACAGAGGAGGGGCTGTGGGTTCAGGAACAGAGAGCACCCATAACAGTAAGAATAACAACCATAAATATATGTGAATCTATCAAGTACCTACTATGTGCCCAGCCTAGCATCCAGTACTAAATATATATACATTGAGTCACGAGATCCTCACACCAACCCTGTGAAATGGTTCTATTGATATTCCCATCCTACAGAGGGGGAAACTGAGGCTCAAAGAGATGTCCAAGGACACAAAGGCCAGCTCAGAGCAAGAGACTGAGGTGCTTAGAGCAGGCTTCTGGAGGGAAGGGGCTACATAGGGCCTTATTTCAAAGGGAAGGAAGTGGGTGTCTGAGAAAGCCGTTGACATGCCAGTAGTGGAAACTGCCAGGAAAAAGGATGCCCCAAGGAAGTGTGGGTGGGCTTTCCACACCCTGCCCTTGGACTCTTGGCCTCAGCCTGTACCCAAATGGATATTTCCTCCAGGTCAACCAGCACATCACCACATCCAGTTAGACCAGCCACCATGCAAAGAAGTTCCCTTCAGCTGAGCCCCAGTGCCCTTCCCTGTGCCAGCTGCCCCATGCAAGATGTGGAGGACCAGGAGATGGGGAGTACCTGGACAAGTAACCTCGAATAAAACCTTTCCCTTTTAGGTACCTTGGCCTGACCCTCTTATAACATGCCTGGGTGGAACCCTAGTGTTCCTGACTCCCTTCTGGTTCTTGGAGAAGGGACAGGAAGGCCCTAACCCTGGCCACAGCTCCAGGCCCACCTCCTAGAGGGGCCTTTCCTGCCAACCCCCTCAGGTGCCCCCTATCCCTTGCCAACCTCCACAGCTGCACCAGCACAGGGCTCTGACCTATGGATTTTCTGCCATTTCCTAATCCACTTGACTCCAGCCTGAGTTTCTAGGACTTCATTGTACCAGCGGCTTTGGTGACCCTAGAATGAAGGGCTGCAAGAGCCCTGAGTGAATGCAGGGCTTCTGCTATGGCTCCCAGAGGCTATAGAGCCCCCAGCTTCTGGGCTTCAGCCTTCTAGGGACTCAGGGCCCTTCAAGGAGCCCCCACTTGAGGCCTCAGCCCACTCTCCCCATTATCTAGGCAGGGCCACAGAGCCCTGAGCTTAGAGAACCCCAAGCCATCACCTCACTGTATAGCTAGGGAAACTTTTGCCCATGGAGGGGTAGTGACCCTCTCAAGGTCACACAGCAAGTTAATAAGAAAGCTCAGAATCAAATTTATGGCATAAAGTGGGACACAGGGACCTCCAGCTGTCTCCAGTCCACTCCCCCAACCTTGCTCCATGCCCAGTGCTGCTTGCCCAGCCCCCACCTGCTTTCTCTAGCTCCTGGTCTCCGTTTTCTTGCTAATTAGAGGTCTCAGCAATGACTCCACTGTCCCAGCCATTTTAGAGCTGTCATTAATTTCAAGTGCCTTCAGAAATAATCATCATTGTAAAATCCCATGAGCTGCTGGTATGTAAGTGGATAGGCCAGCATAGAGCAGGTATGCAGGCAGGCCTATGTGTACCACTCATTCCTTCCTGTGCTCTAGGGGGGAACCTGGCCCTTCCTCCTGCATCCTCAGCTCCCCAGGCTTGGGCTCTGACATCAAAAGCACACAGAGTGCACTTGAGCAAGTCAACAGCCTTCCCAGAGCCTCAGCTTTTTCATTGTTCAACGGGGACAGCAATACCAATCTTGAAGTGAGAAGTATTTAAAATATAGCTCAGAGTCTGGCTTACTGTAGGGGCTGAGTAAATGTTAGAGGGCCCTGTACCCTCCTCCAGAGTACCCTGGCAAACCCATTCCAGCTCCTCCGCTCTGCTGTGGGCTCTCAGGCTATAGCAGGCTGGCTTCTTCTCCCAACCATCAGCTCTTGCTTGACTAAGTTTTCACCCCAAAGCCAGGGTTTGGTTGATGTGTGCCCACCTGTACAACATGCAGTCTCAGACCTACTTTTGAAAGTTCCTAGTCTGAGAACAGAGAAGGGAGGAGACTGGAGCCTTGCCTCTGTCTATTTCATGGCCTTGGAGAAGACTGGAGTAGAAGAAAATGGACTTAATTTGGTCTTGAAGCACAGGTGGAGACAGGGAGAGGGCATGCAGAGCAGGTGGACCAGTAAGGACAATGGCTGGGAGGTATGGGTAAACATTCTTCAACTGTAGTTTCTGAGTATCCTTCCCTGGTTGTGCCAGTGAAGTCCTGGACTGGGCCATTCCCATGTGTCCCTATGGCCCTGGGACCCCTGAGAGGTTAGGGACTACCCTACCAGACAAGAGTGGAGAGATACCTGTTCTGCAGCGCATGTACAGGCTCTGACTGGGCGAAGGCCCAGTAACAAGCCCTCCTTTTATGAGGTCTCTGGTGACAAGGCCAGGAGCCTGCATTCTCACAAGGCCCAGGCCAGACCCCTAAAAAGGCCTTTTCTCCAAGTTCTTCCCCCCAAACCTCTCCATCCCCATTATTTCTATTGGAGAAATAAGACAGGGGAAGCTGGGACTGGTCATTTCTTTTGGAGAAACAGGTAAAGGAAATTACTTGGATACTGTTTATAATGTAGAACTAAGTCTGCGGGGCAATTCCTCCCAGACAAAACTCTGTCGTCTTCTCTGCTGCCTGCAAGGAGCAGAGGGATGATTGCGGGCCCCAGAAGACCCCACCTCGGTACGCCAGCTTCCTCAGCCAGCATCTGGAGGCTGGGGGAACAACTGGGCTCTTCCCTATTTCTCTGCGAAGATTACTGAGGAAGGGAGCAGGTGAGTCGGGGGCGGAGACCGGCCGCAGCCGCGCGGTGCCTGCGTCAGTCGCCGCACCAGGAATAGCCCCCGCCCCCGCCCCAGCGGGTCTGCGCTCCCGCCTGGCGGAGCCTCCACGCAGGAGCAAGAGCGCGTCTATTCCTGCCGGGCTGGTGGGAGGAGGTGGTGCGGGAGGCGGGAGCTTGCTTGTAACTCACAAACAGCCTGGCGGGGGAGCGAGGGTATCTGGGAGGGGGTCCAGGCAGCACAGAGTTGAGGGGCCAGGGAGCCGCCTTTTCTGGGCTCTTGAAGGGAGGGCTCCTGTGCTACCTCCCCTCTTCCTCTCCCACCTATAATACCCTCTACCAAGCCTGCCCTCTACTGGTTTTCTCAGCCCTGGAAGGCGATTCAAATTCTTTTCCCAGGCGTATTACCAGCTGCTTGACCACAGGCAAGTCAAGTAACCTCTCTGAGCCTGGGGTTCCTTTTCTCTGTCATAGGGGGAACAGCGACTCCTCCCAGGGTTGTTGGAGGGTGAATGTAAAGTGCACAGAACAACATCCGCTCCTACTAGGAGGGGATCTCCAGCCAGGTCTAGGATGAGGATGGACACAGATAAAGAAGACAGGAGATTGTTGTCCAGGCAGAACTGTTCCTAGCAGAGGTGTGGCACTGAGACTGAGAGGTACCCAGAATCTGTTTAGCTGGAATGAAAGGTCTGTGGAATGCTTTTTGGGCTGTGTGTGTGAGGCTGAATAATGGAGAAACAAGATGGTGCTGGGAGTGGGGGTACACTGGTGGCCTTACCAGCAGATTCCATGGGGGGCAGGGCACTGGGAGCAGGATCCAGAAATCTGTGCTGAGACTGAGAGGCCTTGGGCTAGTCTCCTTCCCCCAGCCTCAGCTTCTCTGCTTACCATAACCCCTACCTGTGAGCTCGAGGTATCCAGAGAACTGGTGTGTTAAAGGGATGCACTGCCAACTGTGGAGAAGGGGTGAGTATTAGCATTAATGGTTATTCCAATCAAACCAGCTTAGTGTTAAAAGGCATCTGGCTTCAAGGAGATGAAAGGGGGTGTACAGTGGAAGAAGGTGAGGTCCCAAAGGTTGTAGCCTACTCTGTAGGCTTTGCCAAGACACCCCCGCCAGCCGATTCTCTGTATATGCTGATCAAGGAGGATCTGGATGTTTGAGAAGAGGTCCCATTTCCTGGTCCCATCTGAGTATTTGGCCCCAGCCCAGGACCCCAATGACCGGTTGGGGAACAAGGTGAGAGACCGCCAAGCCCAGACCGAGGCTCTACGCTGCCCTCTGCTGTCCAGAGCGGGCCAGAGCGGCCTGCTGCCCTCTGCTGGATAAGAAGCTAGGCTGGGTGGGGACCCGGGCTGCAAAAGGTGGGCAAGAGCCGATTTGGGGTAGAGCCGCGGAGCTGGCTCGCTTTCCTCGCTGTTCCCAGGAGCTTCCCCTGTACCTGCCGCCAGACTCTGGGCCCTCCAGCTATTCACAGACATTTCCAAGGAGAGGGGAGAAGGCGCAGGAGAGAGGCTCCGGGCCTGACCCTTCCCACGCCGTCCTCCAAACAACCCTGACCGAGTGGGGAGCTTTGCCCGTTTACGCGCGTGTCCGTTCACATGGCAATGTGTGCAACGACCCTAGTTAACACACTCGAGTTTACATGCACACGCATATGTCCACATGAGAAGGTGTGCGCGCACAATCAGGGAGGACCGCATGGCTCGGGATTCGCCGGGAGCCTGGACTCGGAGGGGTGCGGCCGTGTGCAGGGCAGGAGCACCACGGTGCCGGTTTCTGCTCCAGGCGGGCGGGCGGGCCCCTCGCCAGTTTCGCCCCTCCATCCGTGCAGGGCAATGATTGGGGCGCTGCTCGCTCTCCGCCTCCTTCGCGGAAAGGAGACGAACCCCCTACCTCGCCTCCCCCTCCCTTATTTGTGCGGCCGCGCCTTCTCCCCAGTCCCGCTCCCGTCACTCGCTCACTCCTCCCTCCTTCAGTCCCTCCTCCCTCTCAGGCTCGCTCCTCGCGCTCCCTCCCGGCGCCGTGACAGAGCGCGTAGCCCGGGCGGGAGCCGGAGCGGGAGCCGGAGCGGGAGGCCCGCTGAGCACAGGCGGCGGCGGCGGCGGGTCCAGGCCCCGGAGCGAGCGGAGTCCCCACCCGCGTCGCTCCGGTCCCTCTCCTGACGCGGGGCTCCGAGCAGCATGCGCGGCCGCTGCCCGCCGGCCTCAGCCCTGGCCCCGGCTCCGCTGCGAAGCGCGCCTGGCCTGGACCCCGGCCCCAGCGGCAGAAGAGGAGGCGGCGGTGGCGCCAGGCCGGCTCCGGGAGCAGAACTGGGCTCGTGGCGCCCGCGTCGTGCATCCTGAGCCCAGCTGCTCCCCCGCCCGCCGGGGCCACGGCCCCAGCCTCGGCTCCGGCTGGGCTCCCGCCGGTGTGGGGAGGACAGACAGTCAGCCCCGCGAGGGCTCACGGACTGACGGGCGGAGGTGTTGGCGAAGGAGGAGGAGACCGAGGAGGGGGCTGGGCAGGGGCTGTGGCCCGGCGGGGAAGACATGCGATTGGTGACTGAGCCGAACGGACGGACCGCGTGCCCGAGATGCAGGTGAGCCCGGCGGCCACGGCCCAGCCCTGAGCTGGCTACCCCGCGGTGATCGCCCCTGGGGGCTGCCCTGGGTCCTCCTGGGGCTGCGGGACACCGCAGTGCACCCAAACCCCCACTTCGGGGTTACAGATCTGACCCCCCTCAAGCCTCAGAAAAGGTTCTTCCCTTCCCTTGTCCCCACCCCAACCAATTCCAGGTTGCCTAACTGGGACCCCAGGGCTGTGGAGGGGCCCCCGCTGGCTTCCCAGCCCTGTCCATCTTCCTTCCCCTCTCCCATTCTGAGCACTCTTCACCCTGGAGGGTACGCCCCCTGCTCAGCGCTAGGTGGTTCCTTCTCTCCGTAGACCCCAGATGTTCCCAGGCACCCTCAGGTGGGTGGATACAGGTCAGGGGCCAGCTTTCTCCACAGGCTTCAGCCTGAATGCCAGATCCCTCCCCTCAGAAGGATCAGCCCTTTTCCAGCTGCTGCCCAGAGAGAAGGAGAAAGGGAAATGGGAGGTAGAGAGAGTGGAGGAGAGAGAGTTGGGTCTGTAAAGGATCCAGAAACCCTTTAGGGGCCTCCCCTTTGTCTGTTTTCAGCCCAGGCTTCTCACCTCCTCCTGCCCCACTTTTTATTCTGAGGCAGAGTGGGTGGGAGATGGGAACCAGCTAAGAAAAGGGAGGTGAGGGAGCCTCCAACTCTGCTCCTCCCAGCCCCCTTCTTCACCTCTCCCAGGTAGCTAAGGGACCCCTAGGAGATGTGTCCCTCCAGATGGCTCCCACATTGAGGAGGGGCGGGGCCAGGCCCAGTGACAGTCCTCTCTTGGTTCTTGCCTTGGCTCCCAGCCCAGCCCCATCCAGCTTTGGTTTTGCCAGCAGCATCTCTTCTTTGTTCTCAGAGGTCCTGGGGTTGGGGTGGGGGAGAAGGGGTATCTTGGGGGAGAAGGAAGATAGGAACAACTCTGTCCTGGTGGGGTGGGAGTGCAGGAGGCCCTGAGGTAGGGGGCACTACCATCTGGGCAAGCCCCTTCTCTGCCAGCCCAGCCCTCAGCCCTCCTTCAGTCCTCTGCTTGGCTTGGGTAGCCAGAGGGCATGCAGCCCAGCCTGGCCCACGATTCTGGGCTCAGCCTTGCTGGTCATTATGACAACAGCCCCAGCACCAGTGCCTCCTATGCCCAGAGAGCAATGAGCCTGGGGCTTCCCCTCATCCATCAAGGAGTGCCAGTGAGGGAAGAGAGGGTCACCTGTCCCAGACCCTTTGTCCTTGTGTGAGCCAGGAAGCTCTCAGAGTCTTCACACCTCTGATAAGATGCCAGAATCTGGTCTGCAGGGACAGCTTGCTTGGCCTTCTTGCTTTTTCCCCATAGCCTGAGGTGGAAGAGAAAAGTGGCAGAAGGAAAGGGCCAAAAATTCCTCAGGACCCAGATGGGAGCTCCAGGCAGCACCCAGCTGCCCCTCGTGGAGGGGAGTTTAGCAAAAGCCAGGGCAGGCCCTCTGTTACGTTTCTGTTGTCTTGGCCCCCTCCCCTATCCCCTGCCTATTTAAGTGTGAGATGGGCTTGGTCAAGGCTGCAGTGCTCCCCAGAGTCTGGAGTTAGAATGGGTCCTGAATCCAAGGAGCCAAGTTTTAGGGGATGGGTATGTGCTCCAAGCCTAGGTATCATGGCTTGTGGCTTGTGGGCCCTTGTGTGCTGGAGGGAGGTGGAAAGACCACTCTACCCCTCGTAATAGTCCTCTTAGATCCCAGTGCTCAGCTTCTCTATCCTCTGCCTCTGAACGCCCAATTTTTCTATGCTATTGTTTTCTAAAACCCAGAATTCCAGAAGGACACACACACACACACACACACACACACACACACACACAACCTCTTGTGAGAGTGGGTGGTTGTTCATTATAAAGCCAGATAGGATCTCTGGTACAAGTGATGGCTCATCTGGTGCTGCTGTCTAGGTGTCTACTAAGCAAATGGCTGGAGGATCGCAGTTGGGTCTGGGGGTGCATTCCTGTTGAGAAGTAAGGCAGTGTGGTGATTTGCACGGGGTCCCATGGAGGCATGAGGCAGTGTCAGGTGGAGGGTGAGGAAGAGGGTCATGTAGAGCTAGGGTAGGGCTTGGGAGGGGAGGCAGGAGGTAGTGGTGGTTTCAGAGTTAGCCTTGGTTTGCTGCCCAGGGTCTGCTGGTCTAGCTGTCCTGTGTGTGGTAACTCTATGGAAGGATGGTGGCCTTCCAGCCCCAGGGTCCCCCCTTCCCGATAGTTACTGATGGCTCTCTGTTCTGTTCCCTCCAGTCAGTCCCTCTGCATATCCCCCCATCACTTGGCTTGATCCAGCATCCCTACCCAGAGGCCTTCTCCTCTCTTTGCCTTCTCCTGGCCCCTCTTCTAGGAAACCTCCCTTACTGCTCCAAGTCACTCATCCCTTTCCAGCCACTCATAGTGTAGAACCATGTAGATTTGTACCTAATATTATACCAGCCCATTTATTCATGCATTTATTCAACACATCCGGGCTAAGCTGCCTGCTCAGCTCTGGGCAAGGCCCTTCCATGGCTCCCATGGATTGCCTTGAACACCGTGGGCAATCCTGTGCCCATCATTGCCTGGGCTCCCCTGCCTGGTCCTTGAAATAGGGAAGACGCTGGGAAGCACCAGGGAGCAGCTGGTGACCGGTAGTAAGGACTACCTGGAGAGGACACAGTGTCCTCAGCCTGTGTGCATGAACAGAGCTAGGCGACATCAAGGATGCCCCAGGCAGGGGTTGAGGAGAACCAAGGCAGAGTGCTCTCACACAGCCACTCAGAGAGGATGGTATTTGTTTTGGGGGGATGAGATGGTCAGGGGTCCTCCAGGGAGAGAGAGAGACTGGGTGGGTCCTGAGGTAGTAGAAGACTTTGCAGAGACACAGAAAGCAGGGCATTATAGAATCAGAGACAATGTGGGAGGGCAAAGGGCAAGTTCACTTTCAAATGCATTCAAGGCATTCTTGATGCTAACCTTTGTTTATGTGTTGAATGAATGAGCGAATGAATATCCTCAGATGCCGTGGGCCTGGTAGAGTTGTGCTGACCACAGTCTCCTCCTCATGTGTGTACAATTCCTTCTGTCTCACTTTATAGTGAAGTCGTTGAGTGTGGATCATGGAGCCAGACGCCCAGGTTTAAATTTTAGTTCTACACTGCCTAGCTCTGTGACTTTGGGCAAGTTACTTCATCTCTTTGGGTCTCAGTCTCTTATCGATAAAGTGAGGACAACAGCAGGATTTACCTGCTGTCATCATGAAGATTAAGTATGTTACTATATACAAAGCATTTAGAGCAGCACCTGTTATACAGAAAGCTCTCAAGAAATGTTGGCTATTCATAGTTTCTATCAGTGATGTACCCTCAGTCTTACCCTTGCACATGGTACAGGGATTTGATTGTGTAGCTAGAAAACAAAACCAGAAGAGTGTAATTACTTGCTTAACGTCCCAGCTAACAAGCATGAGGCTTGGGCTAGAATGCCTTCTTCCTGGCATTTGCTCTGGGGTTCTTGCTCACTGGTTCTGGCTGGCCTGCTAATTAATTAACCAATATATTTAGTATTAATAATATAATGAACACCGTGCTCCTACTCCCCAACCTGAACACTAGCACTTTAATAATGAGGTATGTCTTCCCATGTGCTTCTCCTCACCTTATCCCTTGGCTTCTTTCTCTGAGGCAACCACTACCCTAAATTATCTATTTAGCATCCCCTTGCCTTTTGAAAATCATATGTTTTAATACATATAAATTGTTCAGTTTTAGTTATTTTTGAACTTTGTAAAAAGAACATAAAGTCATATGCAGTCCTCTGGAATTCACTTTTTTCTTCAACATCATATCTGTAAGCTTTATCTATATTGTTGCAAGTAACAGTAGATGTAATTCTTTTATTTCCACTGACGCACGGTGGTCTGTGCGTTTGGACACAACACAGTATATTTTCCATTCTTCTGTTGATGGGCATGTGAGCTGTTTTCGTTTTTGCTCTTACAAACAATGCTGCTGTGAACCTGCTTGTTTAGTCTCCCGAGGCAGTATGCATAGCATCTCTGGGGCACAGAGCTGGGAGCAGAATTGCTGGGTCGTGGGGCATGTTTGTGTTCACCTTTACTAGAAAATGTGTGTTTTCCAAACTGATTGGACTGTTTATGCTTCCCCAGCAGCAGGTGATATCTTCATTGCTCCTGTCTTGCCAGCACTCATATGCTGAGATATTTCATTGTTACTGATTGAATGAGTATAAAATGGTATTACATTATGGTCTTGGTGGTATATGGGGTTGAGATGGGCAGCAGCAAGTCCATAATACGTGCTCACTATAAGATCATCTCCTTTCACCTCAGTTTCCTCAGTTGTGGGGATGCCATCCAAATAAGTCTTGAGCTGAGGGACGGGCAAGAACAGTCAGAGAGGACTTTCTCATAAAGTGGGAATGAACTATGAACGAGGAGCAAGGAGAGCTTGAGTTACTACACATCTAGAGCCAAAGGAAACCCAGTGGTTCTGCATTCACCCCAGGGAGGGCAGGGGCGGTCCTAGTTTGAGAGGTAGAGGGAGCCTGTGCTTCATTATTTTGATAATGCACAGGGCCCTGAAAAGCCCATCTCTACACCCTGGCACCTGACGTGGGGCTTCGCATTGGTGAGTGCTCAATAAGAGTTTGGTGATCTGGGGAATGAATACTGGATGGAATTAATGTATATTTGTTCTTCCTTCATTCTCACCTCCTTGGGGAGTCCTCCCTGATTGCTCTTACCATTGTGCGACTATGGGGTAGCTGAGCATGGTGGCTCCTGGGCATTTGCAAGGCCCTGACATGAGGCCCTCTAGCCCCTGCCTACCCACAGGGCCTGAGAAGCCCAGTGCTGGCAAGGTAGTTTGGATTGGCTCCCTCTACCAGCCTGGTGCATTTCCCTGCCTGGACCCAGGTCCCTGGAGCTGGTTAGAGACCAGTGACAGAGCTGGTGGAATAATTATACCTATTTCGCGTGACACC